TTTTACTGGCCTGGGGTCTTTGTTACTGTCCGACAGTACTGCAGATCCTGTGACCCCTGTCAGAGGGGCAGGAAGGACTGGGACAAGGGGAAAACAGCTTTAGGACCCTTGCCCAGCATAGAAGAGCCTTTCCAGAGGGTGGCCAAGGTAAAAAGGGCGGCTCTAAACCAAGAGAGCCAAAAGCACAGACCTCCAGACTGGAGCGCTGGGAGAAGACCACAGCCCAGTTGGAGCCCCAGAGGTATGGGGGTGGGAAAAGGGCACAGGCCGCATAAACCTTCCCACATGCGAACTGCGAGTGCCATCAAGCACCCCCGAACTAAGGGGGGGCGTGAAACTGGAGGGGCCTGGTGTAATTCTCACCAAGGAATGGGAGGGATGCGGAGGCATCCATGGGAACGGGGGTAGGTTCGAACTTCCCCGGGTCACTGGCTAAAGTGACCCTGCTCAGTTCGGTCTCGAAGGGGGGAGATGTGTGATGAACTGGGCCTGTTCTCACTGTGGTCTGTGAATGCTGACAGGGGAGTGGGGCTGGAATAGTCTGCATTGGAGGATGGGAGACAGCCCGAGGGCGCATACCTGAGTGTGTAACACGAGAACCCAGGAAGGGGTTGAAGGCCAGGTGACTCCTTAGCCCGAGAAACTGAACAAAGGCGGTGGGAGAGGTCGCTGAAGCAGAGTGTGGGAAGCAGGCTGGAGAGATGGCTGGGAGGCAGAGATGGCTCTGACCTCCCAAGGGGGGCTGGGCTGGGATGCCTTGGGACCCCAAGATGGACCTAACTGAGGGGGTCCCTGTTGTCTGTGCCTGCAAGACCTGTCTTGGACTGTATTCCTGTCATCCAAATAAACCTTCTGCTTTACTGGCTGGCTGAGAGTCGCAGTGAATCGCAGGAAGCCGGGGGTGCAGGGCCCTGAGTTCCCCAATACTCCGTGACAACTTCAATTTCCCTAGACACTCAATAACAGACTTAAAACTGGCAATTCTTCAATAAAAAACTTCAAAACCAGACTCCAACGACAAACTGCAGAACTGGAATTAATTTGCAAAATGGACACCATCAAATTAGGCTTGAATAAAGACTGGGAATGGATGGGTCACTACAGAAACTAAAAACTAATTTCCCCATGCTAATTTCCCCCTACTGTTACTCACACCTTCTTGTCAACTGTTTTAAATGGGCCACCCTGATTACCACTACAAAAGTGATTTTTCATCCTGTTGATAATAGCTCACTTCCACTTTAATTGAATTGCCTCGTTAGAACTGAACCCCCACTTGGTAAGGCAACTCCCATTGTTTCCATGTACTGTGTATATATATTCTGCCTACTGTATTTTCCACTCCATGCATCTGATGAAGTGGGTTTTAGCCCACAAAAGCTTATGCTCAAATAAATGTGTTAGTCTCTAAGCTGCCACAAGTACTCCTCGTTGTTTTTGCTGATACAGACTAACATTGCTACCACTCTAAAACACCAGTGTGGCAGAGACCTTCAGTATCCAAAACAGCAGTACAGTGGCACTAGAAGTGGGATATATTTCTAGCTCTGTCACGGACTGCCTGGGTGACCTTGGACACGTCAAAGTTTCTCCTCCCAATTTAACTCTCTTTACCCAGCTGCCCACTCACTAGGGACTCTCTCTCCATAGCCACTCACCAACTAAAATCTGTGTGGGTGTCACCAGAGCTAAGGTAGTCCAGCTCTGGAATAGTCTTACAAGGGTGGCTGTGGAGTCTCTTTCCCTGGAAGTTTTTAAGAACAGGTAGGACGAACCTTTGTCAGAGATAATCTACATATACTTGGTCCTGCCTCAGCAGAGCAAGCTGGACTTGATGACATCTTGAGACAATGGAGGCAGAAATCTGGGCCGCAGTCGTGCGCTGCCCGGCACAAGGGGAACCGTGATCTCGGTACAGGTCTCAGTTTTACCTGGCACAATCGGGGGCCTGATGTCAGACGGGGTCTCCACAGCACCTGTCACAACAGTGGGGTCTGACCTCTGTTGGGGTCTCTGCAGCACCTGGCAGAACAGGACCCAGATCTCAGTTGGGGTCTCTGCAGCTCCAGGAACAACAAGGTCCCAGATTTCGTTTGTTGTCTCTGCAGCGCCTGGCACAATGGGAGCCTGATTTCACTTTATGTTGAGGCCCGGAGCTCAGTCAGGATCACTGTAGCACCCGGCCCAACAAGGTCCCTGCTCTCTGTAGAGGTCTGTGCAGTTCCTGGCACAACGAGTGCCCCAAACTTAGTCAGGGTTTGTGCAGTGCCCGGCACACTGGGGGGGCTGATCTCAAGCAAGGCTTGTGCCATGCTCAGTACGATAAGCCCTGATCTCAGTCAGACGCCTGGAGAGAAAAGCAGGAAGATTTTCAGGAATTTGATATCAGTATTTCAGAACTGAGAAGACAATGGGACACAAACTAAATATTTCCCAATATAAGAGAGAAGCAGCAACATCTGAGGAGATTTTATGTCACCATTCAACCGTTCAAGAGAAAAGAGGGGAAACTTGAGGGGATTATACAGCTGATATTCAATCAACAACAGAATGGGATGGATTCTTCCTACCTGACATTCACAGGGACAGCAGGGAGCCCTGGGTGATGTGGCTTTCACAGGGCAAAGGAGTGGGGGCTGGAGTCAGAATATCACTGGCTGTGGGGTCTGGAAATGTGACTGGCAGGTGGTGTCTTGGGGGGGCTGCTGGGTTGGGCAGGGGGAAGTAGCTGGGACTGGGAAACCTGGGGCTGGGCCGTCTCCATGGGGGACGCTTGCTCCTCCCCTCCCTTCCTGGGCTTTTTCATGTCCTGTTGCCAGCAGAGAGTGGCCCCCCAGCCCAGAGGTATCCCTATCTCAGGGCTCTCCCAGCCTCTGCCCATTAACCCTCTTCCCAGTTCAGAAATCACTCAGGGGAACGATTTCCCTCCTAAACAAGGAGGATTCACTACAGGTCAAAATGGGGGGAAACACCCCAAACCTGAGATTTGAACTGGCCATTGGTGAAGTGGAGAGAAAATGGGGCACAATCAGGGGAGGGGAACAGAGACCTTCTCAGGGATTTGAGGAGAGGGGAAATCACTCTGGATGTTGCTCATTGCTCTCTAGAGAGAAAGGGGGCAGGACTGGAGAGGATGGGGGTCCCCACGGGAGGCGGCAGCGGTAAATCCGAGGGGATCTCAGCCCTCCCCTTCTCTCTCCGCTCCTCGGGGGTCACCTGCTCTTCTCCTCCCCCGGCCATGTCCGGGTTGCACAGACATTTTCCATCTGCTCCTTTTCCCAGGTCCCCCCCCCTTGCAGTCCCCACCCAACCCCATACAGGGACCCCCAGTAGGGGCTGGTCCCCTCCCCGGGACCCCCGTGGTGCCCCAGGGCAGAGCCTGTCCGGGTCCGGGGGCGTTGGGCTCCTGCTGGGACAGCAGCTCCCAGCCCCCCGCGGGCGCTGCCCCCAGGGAGCAGATCCCGGCGCTGCGAGATGCCGGGTCCCCCCGACGGACACTGGGGCAGAGTCACCGCCCGGCCCCGGGACTCGCTCCGGTACCTGGAGGCTGCAGCTCTGCAGTGGGGCGGGCAGAGCCCGGGGCGGCTCCGGCGGGAGAAGGGCCCAGGCCAGGCCGGACGGTGGGGAGTTAATGAAGGTCTCCCCGGCACAGACCCTTTTGCTCTGCCTGGGTTCCCAGATCACAATGGAGAAACAGCAGCGCGGCGCTCACCCAGCAGCTGATTACACTCCGCCCCTCCCTTGTTCTCTTCCCCCCCAGCCTAAAGCAGGGGGTGGGGGCATGTGCCAGGTGCTCTGGGAAATGCAGCCTCTGTGAGCTCTGCCTCTGCGCATGCGGAACTCTCCCCCTCGCGTCTCCTCCCGTGCAGTGCCAGGCTAGGCAGATGGTGTCAGCTGAGCTGGGGCGAGTCCCAGCCACTGCAGACAGCCCCGGCGACCGCTGCAGCCCGGGTGGGGTTTGCAGGGCATAGGAAGGGGCTGGAGCAGCTGGGAGCGGTGGGTGCCGGGAGGAAGGAGGCAGGAGCCGGGAGAGCAAAGAACGGGGAGCATCAGACCCCGGACAGCTCCTGAGAGACCAGACGCTGCTGCCCCCGTTTTGACCTGAGAGCTGAACAGCTGCTGCTTCCCCAGCGGGATCTGTGCTGGGGAGAGCATGTCATTAACCCCTCCGTGCCCGGCCGTGTAGGGAGACCTCCGGCTAGAAACCGCCCCTGATTCTGCTGACGGCAACTCCCGAGCTGAGACTCCAGATGACTGAGCCCTTGGGGCTGGGCAGGTACCTGACTGCAACGTCCCCCCCCCCCCCATCTCTGCTCTCTGGGTGTGCGGGGCCCACAGCTGCTGCCATCATTAAGGCCAGAAAGATCCTTCTATCAACGAGTCTGACCTGCTTCCATTGGCTCTCTGTGGTGTCCAGTAACTTGTGTGGATAAAGCAGGTCTTCCTGACTGGTACCCCCTTCCCTGCACGTGCAGAGCTGGGCCAGCCAGGGGAGAGAGAAAGCCCCCAAGAATAGGATGGTGATTACGTCTCCCAACCAGGGGGGATAGGGTGCTAGGAAAGAGGAGGAAGAGATGGAAGAGGGTGTGAGGAGAAAGTAGAAGGGGTGGGGGCAGATTTCTGGATCTCTGAGCCCCCCAGGCACACTAACTGCAGCATCTCTGCACAGGGTCACTTTCCTGTGAACAAGGTGAGGAGCAGAGAAAGGAAAAACCAGCCCCTGACTCTCCCTGTTCCCCCTGCTGCAGGAGAGTGCTGCCCTGGGGACAGTGTCAGGGGTATTCCCCAAAGGGGCTCCTTTGGTTCTCGTCTTTTCTAATGTTTAATTCACACTCTGTTGCTGGGAGGGTTTGAAAATGTCTTAGTGGGTTTAGCCCTGGTTGCAGGGCAGTGGTGGTGGTGTGGGAGGGGGGGCAGAGGACAGGGGCAAGGGCTGTGCTGGATTATGTGGACTGAGCATTTTCCCAGCATGGCAGAATCTGCAATCTCTGCCTGCAGGGAAAGAGCCGGGGGGAATGAACTAAAGCCAGTTCTGAAACCTCCACAACTGCCCTTCTCGCCCTGCCAGGCTGCATAATGATGCCCACAGCTCACTCCAGCTCATCCCGTCCTCACAAGGGACAGGGAAGAGAAATGGCTGCAGTGGAGCCAGCTCAGGTAGGAGTTATTGGGGGGTTGCTGGTGGTTTACTGCTGGAGGGAGAGGGGCAGTAAATACTGAAGAGATGGCAACTTCTGGGGAGTTAGGTTTGGAGGGGGCAGGGAATACCCTGGGTGAGGAAAGGGAGGGGAACAGAGTATGACAAACCCGCTGGGACTTGTTTAACATAGGCCTAGATCCTCAGAACAAATGCTTGTACGCTGGGACAGAAAATTCCCTAATTTGTGAAACAGGAAACAGACAAAGCAACCCTCTGCACAGGGTGGGTAAAACTGACCAGACTTCTAGTGATGAACCCTCAACCTCCTAGCTAGAGGCTGGTGTGACATGGAAAGATGTAGGAAGGTGTAGGGAAGATATCCCAGCCCCTCACATCCAGCTGCTGGCAGTGGAGAGGGTGTTGGGATTCCTACCATAGGGCTCTGCATGGACCCTACTGGGAGCTCCATCTCCTGTATCAACCTCTGCTAGTAGGTGTGAAATGGATCAGCTGGGAGACACAAGGGGCTCACTCTTTCTCCCCTCACCCAGATGCCTCCTGGCTGCTCTCAGCAATATGGGGATAGGACTCTGCTGACTGTCTCTGTCTCAGTGTATCCATTTGATTGGCTCATTTCCCCCATGAATAGTGGGGCTGTGACTGGGGCAGCAGGTTCTAAGTGGGGGGCTCTTGCTCTTTCAGGGGCCAGTGGCCTTTGAGGAGGTGGCTGTGTATTTCACCAAGGGGGAATGGGCTCTGCTGGACCCCGCTCAGAGAGCCCTCTACAGAGATGTCATGCAGGAGAACTATGAGAATGTGACCTCGCTGGGTAAGGAGTCCCATCCCCTCAGTTCTTAGAAGGGGAAATGCAGAGTTAAGGTTCACGCCACCCCACAATGCCACCTCTACTCTGCCCTGTTTCAACAACATCCTGACATGCGAATGATACACAAACTAGCGCTCTCCCCTCCCCTGTTACAGAACGCTCTGGGAACAGAGCCGTATAGCAGAAAGTCTAACAACTTCTCTTTGCTAAAATAATATTCAGGCTCATCCCTGTCATAGCAAACAGAAGCTTCCTCCCCCTGGCCCGCACTCCAGTACTGAACCTCGTGCACACAGACCATCTGAGACTTGCAAAGTGTTACCACCCCTTTGCCCTAAACCTGAGTTTTCCTTTTGAGTTACTGCCTTCACTTAACCCTTCACTAAGTCTCACAGATCACTAGAACATACGCCATCAGAGTGCTGACAATCCCCATGGCAAGAACGCACCCTTGGGCACCTTTGCTGACAAAGCCTACAACACTCAGCACAGAAATGAGGCAGGATTGCCCCCCCAAGTTTCACATGCACCTCTCTTTGTAGCACAGTCACAGCTCTGCCCAGCTGCTCCAACCAATCCCTCCATCATCCAGTTACAGCTACAGCTGGCACAGTGCACACAGCTGGAGGGCATGCCGATAAATGTTGGGATTCCCATCTGTGAACACAACACAAACAATGGCACATTCTCTTAGTCTTTCCTTGTATAGATTATAGGTTCATAGATTTTAAGGCCAGATGTGACTATTAGGTCATCTATTCTGATGTCCTTTATAACACAGACCATAGAATTCATCCCTTTATTGCTGCATTGAGCTGATTACCTGAGTTCCTGTGGCAGTTTGTTAACCTTTGCACCGCACACACAGAACCATTCTGCAGGGTTAAGGGTTGGGAGCAAAGTTAAGGTTGCATTGGAAGGGTGATGTTTACATTAACTTCTCATTTCCTGGTTTGCAGAGGTTTAAGTTTAGTCACTGTCTATATGGTGCAAGGCAGGAGGCAGCACTGGGCAACCTTAACTCTGCATTAATGTAGCTTATGAGCACTTAGTTTCCTATTTTTAAAAATGGATGTTTTTGCCACTATAGCTGTGTCTATAATTGAGCTTTTGCCAGCAGCGCTATGTTGGATGGTGTGCGTGTGTGCGCATGTGTGTGTGCACTTTTTCAAAGCCTTAAACAACAGAGCTGGACTGGCAAAGTTTTAAGAGCTACCTAAGACCTACCTAACTAGTTCCTCGACAGACACCTGACATGCCACCTTTAGGTGAACTAATATGCATGTACCTAGTCTGTGGGATCCTAGTAAAACATTAGGCACCTTGTGCCCTCTGCCAGGTGGCATCAAGAGATCCATGATGAGTCACATCCTCCTCCTTCTCCAATCGCTGCATTACAGTGTCCTTAGAATGATCTGGCTCATCCCCATTCCAACTTTCTGTTTGGGTTCCACCGGGCTCTGTCCTTGGTCCCCTTCTTTTCTTCCTCTGCACCTTATTTCTGGGTAATCTCATCCCCACACACACAATCAACTACCATCTCTGTGCTCCTAACTCACAGTTCTAGCTGTCTGCTCCTGACCTGTCTCCTTCTGTCCCAACTGAAATCTCAGCCTCTCTCTTTCTCTCATCTCCTCATTGTTGTCTAGCCATCAGTTAAAGATCAACAGCTGAAGCAAAGCTCTTAATATTTTGCCCAAACCTTCCCCCCACCTTCTTTCTCTACCACCGCAAACAGAACCATTGTCCTGCCTGTCACTCAGGCCCATAACTGTGCAATACCTTTGTCATGGAGCTACCTCTAGGGCCTCCTATCCAGGCTGTGCCTACACCTTGCATTTTCTTTTTCCGTAACTTCCCTAACATCTGGCCTTCCTATCCATCTGTGCAGCTAGAGCTCTTTTCATCCTTTACTGTGTCAGTTACTCCAACGTCCTTTTCTCTGACCTCACCTTATGTATCTCCATTCGGAAGGAAAAAGCTATCTCCTTATCCTCAAACATGACCTATGAGGGAAGGTTGAAAGAACTGGCCATGTTTAGTTTTGAGGAAAGAGTGAGGGGGGGACCTGAGAACAGTCTTCAAATATGTCAAGGGTTGTTATAAGAGGATGGTGATTAATTGTTCGTCATGTCCACTGAAGGTAGGAGGAGAAGTAATTGGCTTCATCTGCTGCAAGGGAGGTTGAGGGTGGATAATACAAAAAACTTTCCAGCTATGTGGATAGAGAAGTACTGGAATAGATTACAAAGCGAGGTTGTGGAATCCTTGTCCCAGGAGGGTTTTAAGAACAGGTCAGACAAATTTATGGCATACTTATACCTGATCCTGCTGCAGGGCTATGGGAATTGAGTAGATGGCCTCTTGAGGTCCCTTCCAGCCCTATATTTGAAGATTTTATGATTCATTGACTTAGCCCTTCGCTTTGATCACGTCTCCTTATGGAGAATACAGACCATTTTTATGGATCAGCTGTGGGTATAAATTTTGTACCTAGAGCCCTGCAAATCTGCAGATATTCATGGACCATTTTTGCGGATTGCAGATTGGATGCGGATACAAATTTTGTATCCATACAGGGCTCTCCCTGTCTTACTTCTGTCTATACCTACAACTTAAATCTATTTAATACACAATGATTGCATTTGAAATAACATATGGGATGACCATAACAATGATAAATAAATGATAAAAGGAGCTAATTGGCTCCATGAACCATGGAGACTCTTCCTTTTCCATCCCCTCCTACAAGAGCTGCAGTCTCTTCCCTGCATGCTCTTTGGATCTTCAAATCTGTCCCTCCTGAAGTCACATGGCCTGATGCTTATTTTTCACATTCTCCTTTGGCAGAGGAATTAGTCTGTGGCTCCTGAACTATACCATCTAATTTGCCAGCTTTCCTCACACACAGGGATGGTGTGAAGGAGTGTGTGTGTACATGCCTGAGTGAGTGAGTGAGTGTACTGTCTCTTTAAGAAAACTCTCAAGGTCAGGAGCCTGAACTAGGCTTGTTTAGACACAATCAGCTGCCAGCAGCTCCAGCCCCAGAGAGGCAGCAGCACACACAGATTCCCCCTGTCCTGTCACCCCAGCTTAGTGGAAATTGGGAACATGGGTGTGGGGGAGGGGGACACCCAGCCATCAATCAGCTCCCCTCTTACCCCCGCAGAGCAGTCAGTAGGACACTCCCAGTCTTGAGTGGCCAGGGGTGACTCCAGGGATGAATGGAGGGTGGGGGGGGGGGTGAGGGGACAGGAACAGCAGCAGCTGCACACATGGAGCAGGGCGGAGGAGGGGCATCCCCGCTCTGGAGTAGTCACCTGGCTCTGACATCTGGTCGTCCAACTGCCCCCTGCAGCTTGGGTCTCTCCCCTTCCCCCATGCTGCTGCTCACCTCCCTGATGTGCCACCTCCGTCAGCCCAGCGAACCTCTCAGAAGCAGATCAGGTGGGAATCCAAACTCTGTGCATGGCATCCCCTTGGGTGGGCCACATGTACGGCCTACCCTAAAGGCCGGCCTGGATGTGGAGCACAATTGATTCCCTCCGCTCTCCCATATGGGGAAGAGTTTGGAGGAATTCAGTCCCTGATTTTTATTTTGTGTCTCTCCAGCACTTACTTGGGTTTGGTCTCTGACTTTCCATCCCTAATTCTGAGATTTCTCTTCTATTCTAGCAAGTGATGGTTAGGTGAGGGAGAACGAGGAGCAGAATCCTCGCCAGGAAGATGCTGAGCTTGTAGAAGCACATGGGGCATTACTGCGAAGATCCAAAGGGAATGTGTCCAGCCCCAGTGAGCTGGGAAAAGCTGGCGAAAGTTACCACAGACCAGAGAGAGAGAGCAGGGAAACCACTCAGAGGAGAAAGTGGATGAACCCATTAATTATCAGGGAACTCACAAGGACCTCAAGGAAACTACATCCCAGGAGAAAATCCTCAGGGAAAAGAGAAAGAATACATGCATTGAATGTGGGAAAAACTTCAATTACCACTCAGCCCTTATTCAACATGAGATAATCCACATAAAAGAGAGAGCCTATGAATGCTGTGAGTGTGAGAAAAGCTTCAATCATACCTCAGCCCTTATTAGACATCAGCGAATACACAGAGGAGAGAGACCCTATGAATACTGTGAGTGTGGGGAAAGCTTCACTCACAGCTCAGTCCTTTCTACCCATCAGCTAATTCATACAGGGGAGAGACCCTATGAATGCAGTGAGTGTGGGAAAAGTTTCATTGACATTGCCTCCCTTATCTCTCATCAAAAAGTCCACACGGGAGAGAAACCCTATGAATGTTGTGAGTGTGCCGAAAGCTTCAATCATAACTCAGCCCTTATTAGACATCAGAGAATCCCCACAGGAGAGCGATCCTACAAATGCTGCAAGTGCGGGAAAAGCTTCACTCAAAGTTCAAACCTTACTATGCATCAGAGGATCCACACACGATTGAGGCCCTATGAATGCAGTGAGTGCAGGAAAAGTTTTACTGACATCTTCCTTATCTCTCATCAGAAAGTCCACACAGGACAGAGACCCTATGAATGTCTGAGTGTGGGAAAAGCTTCACTTAGAACTCAGGCCTTCTCTATCATCACAGAATCCATAAAGGATATAAACTCCATAACAACCTTCTCTAGAGCTGTCAGCGGATTTTTTTTTCTAAATTCTTTTGGTAGTTTCCAGGTAGTGACTGTTAAGGCTGTTTGCATCATTTGCACACTGTAGTCCCTCAGCTCCCACACATGAGTTGCCCACTTTTGAAGCCTGCCCATCTTTGGGGTGGATCCTGTGGTCCTTTCTATCAACTCCATTGTCCTGCAAGTCATGGGAGTGTGTGTCCTTTCTACCAGGAATGTCCATCACCCCACGTGGGGGAGATAGGGGGTGTCTTCAACCAGCTATGTCGAGGTAAAATCTACCTGGGTCTCATCACTGTGGTTTCCATGGAGTTAGCTAGTTTGAGTTCGCTTTCCTGATGTAAAAAGACAGCTATTCTTGCAGTAAAGACATGGGCCATGGATAGTGGGTGGGGTTATCTAGTACATTTCCTCCTGATCTGACCTAACCACCATCACATTTTCTCATTGAAACAAACTTGGAGATTCACTTTTATACTCTTCCTTCCAGTGCAAAGTTATTGTTCGAGTCGTCAAGTTCCTCTTTGAGGACAGATTGTCTCATTCCCAGTTGTTCTCACATTACCCTGGATTATCCTGAACAGCAGTTATTTTGTTGACCATTTTTCTCATTTAAAATATATTTAAATATAGTGAAGAGCCAGAGCAGTGTCAGGGAAATAAGGGTAATTTCAGGCTCTGTGACACTGGAAGGAGATGCAGGGGAAGGACGGAATGTCTGAGTCACATCAGAACTGTTACCTTGTGTGTGAGCCATGCAGAGTTCACCCCTTCATATTCCTTCACTTCCCAAAGTGTCTGGTGAGGTAGTATTCTTAGCTATCCATGCTTGGGAATGGTGCTTGGATGTCTTTGATCCTAAATCGGTCACTCTGGCAGGAGATGAAAGTGTCACAGATTTGGAAGGGGATTTCAAATGGATCCCAAGCACCGTTCAAATCCCATTTTCCCTCTATTGGCAAAGCCACTTCTGGGAAGGTCAGCTGTTTCCCCCCCCCACCCTTTATGAAGATGCTAAAACTTTTGTAAATAACACTAATGAGACAGCACTGAGTGAAGCAGGTTTTATGGGAGAATCTCTCATCCTCATTCTGAGTTATCAGATGTAACCTACTCTGGAATTTCCCTTTAAATGAAAATAAAAGTGTCTTCTACCTCTCTGTGATATGGGTTTTCTATCTTTCATGAAGGTTCCTTGGTCATATAACTGCATGTTAGTTTTGTTTGACAGAATGTAGTTCAGATTTATTAGGAAATTTCAGACACATGACCATCATTCTTTACTTCAGGTTTGTTTTCTCCCCTATCCCTGCATGGTGACATGGAGAAAATTCAAATGCAGTTCAGTCAACAGGAGAGAATACTCCATGCTATTGGACATATTGTTAAAGAAACAGTAGTGTGTTTAAATCTCCACTCTGAAAAGGTGAACAGCAGCAGACCCCAAACCGTATAATTGACTGAAGTAAGTGCACATGATCACCATGTGGTTCAATTGTTTAAGTCAATATTGTCTCAGATGATCCAGGGATAGAATTCCACACCAAGTGACTTGGAACTAGGCAAAATGCCCAGGTATTTGGTTCCCAAGGCATTTGTGACCCAGTCCCTACAGGAAGTTACTCCTGAAAAGATCTCCTAGCTAATCCCAAAATTTGGGAAATACTGTCTGTGATGGGGTGTATCAACCCTGCACTGGCACTCCTTGAGTTAACTACACCATGTGGGCTGAAGAGGCCACACCTCCTTCCTGGGCATGGTCCGACTGGAGACAGAGTATAAAAGGAGCAGCTCAGCTCAGCCTGGGTGGACTGAGGAGGAGAGCAAAGCTATGTTGTGGGCTCCTGCCAGGAAGCTGCTAGACTTCCAGGCTGCAGGGGCCAGCCACGCTGAGGCCCCTGCAGACACTCAGTTGACCGTCAATGATGTCCAGGAAGAGACGCCGGATGCTGGGAGATTACCGATGCTGGAAGTAAGGGTGGGAAGTGACCCAGGGAATGGGGCTGTTGCAGTGAGGGATCAGGTCTGAACACAGGAGTATTGGTTCCTCAAGACCCTGGGTCAGGACTTGGTTGAGTAGGGTGGTCCCAGGTGCCTCTACCTCTCACTGCACCCACCACTGGATGAGGTCACCACCTGAAGACAAGCTGTCTTGACCAAGGGGACAGATTTCTTTCCCCCCAAACCCCTGCCTTTATCCTTACGCAGCCACACACCCTGCAACAGGATGTATCAACCCCATGACACTGTCCATAATGATGTAGATGTGGAGAAAACAGAAGTGGTGTTTTTGTTGAACTCACCATTTGTGGGTGCTATAACTGTGTGTAAGATGAAATCAGTGTTGAGTGTGAGATGGCTGCAGAAAAATAGCTATTTTTTAATAGGAACCTCATCTCTGTTATCTTACAGAGATTCTGATCCAGGCCTGTATCTAATCCCTAACCACAACTGTACTCAAGGTTCACTGGTGGAAAGGGGGATTAAAAGAAAACTAACACATATGAGAAGATTCTTTAATCATTGAATAGCTATTGTTATGAATGAAAATGAAATTAAACATGAAGTTACTCTTGAATGAAGAAGAGACTTAATTATGTGATCAACTGAATTATACTGGAGAAATAAAACTTGTATTGTTTTTCTTTTTGTTAGTAATATAGGAAATGGTGGCCCTTCCCGAGTCCTTCAGTTCACTGCCACTCTGGGCTGCAGCGCTCACTGGGAGTGGGGGCTGGGATGGGGGGGCTTTCTCCTGATGGAACTAGCCCCTAGTTTTCCATTTGTGCATCATGTGTCCACATGTGCCACGGTTGGTTCAGATTTTGTTCAGAGCTGAGCAAGATGGAAGGTCAAACCCAGAAACCTTCTGTGTGGGATCCGGCACAAGGTGCTTACTCCAGAAGCCTGTCAGAATTTACCCCTTGCTGTCCCCCTCCCTGTGCTACTGTACACACATCTCAATTTAGCAGCTTACTAGAATTACACATGCTACCTTGACAATGTATCCCAAACTGCACACTGAACTGTACCTCTCCCTCCTATTTCTACCTGGGTCTGAAGCCCCTGCTTCAACCATGCCCTAGCCCTACCCAGTCTACCCCTCCAAAGCAGCCCCTCCCCCACATATTCTGATCAATCCCCTCCCCCACCCCACACACCCATGTATCTGAACTATTCCTTTCCTGGATTTCAGATTATGAAATTTGTGTTACCTTGGACCCCCGCTGCTCCCAGGTCTCAGCTCACATGGGGGGCAATGCTAGGGTCCTCCACATCCCAGGATATATAGGGGGCAGGGAGAGTGGAAGAGGCCCTCCAGATCTAGCACATATGCAGAAGGGGAGAATACAAATCTGAAAGGTCCCTCCTGCCCCCACCCCAAATTCTTCTGTTCCCCACACATAACCCCTCCAGTCCTCAACCTTCCCATTAAACCTCTCATCCCTACTTGAAGACACAACCTCCTCTCCCCCTATTCCCACCCACGCTTACACCCCTAATCGCCCCCCTCCCAGTGAGGGTCAATTTACTTTCAAATTTGTTTGAGACCCTTCCAATTGATCTGCGAAATACTCCTACTACATTTCTGAAAACACCCTTGGTGGAAACAGGTTTTTCCCAGCTCAGTTTGTCTTCAGATGTCTCATCGAGGGGGGAGTTCAAATGTCAACAGTGCTAGAATATTTTAACTTTATGAATTACTGTTGTTTGCCGGGGGGGGTGTATCTTGGGAACCCCTTGGTCAATTGGCCCGAAATCTGAGATGCTCACCCAACCCGGAACCCTCATGAGGCACACCAAATTTCAAGGCAATTCAAGTAAATGTGTCTATTCTAAAGCACTTAAAATAGTCAAGCCGGCCCTGCACCCACCAGCAACCAAGCTCTCCTCCCCCTGCTCCCCCACCTACCTCCCAGTGCTTCCTGCCCAGCCGCCACCAAACAGCTGTTTGGCAGCATTAGCATGCCCGGGGGGGGAGGAGCAGGAATGTGGCACGCTCAGGGGAGGAAGTGGGGAAGAGGCGGGGTTGGGGCAGGAATTTGGGGAAGGAGTTGGAATAGGGGCAGGGAGGGGGTGGAGTTGGGATGGGGATTTTTGGGAAGAGGTTGGAATGGGGGTGGGGCAGGGTTTGGAAGAGGCAGGGCAGGGGCGGGGCTTCATGGAAGGGGTGGAGTGGGGGTGGGGCCAAGGGGGGTTGAGCACCCACGGGAAAGAGGGAAGGTCAACGCCTATGGGCGTAAGATTCTTTTTCTGAGACTGACCAGTGGCTTTCCCTCTCAGAAAGTCTTTGCTTAGAAACACAACAGGATGGAATTGGTGATCTGGTCCTTCCTGAATTAAAACTGCTCCCACACCACCCTCGGACGCATCTGTTGTTACAGTGAATGGTTGGTTGAAGCCCACAGCCCTCAGTACAGGGTCAGACATAAGGGCCACCTTAAGCTGTTTACACTTAAACAGCTCTGACACTTCTCAGTCCACTAAACTGCATTTGGTTGTTTTTTCCTGGTCAGGTCTGTCAGTGGGGTGGCAATTTGGCTATAGTTTGGTACAAATCATCAGTAATACCCAGCCAAGCCCAAGAAGGATTCGACTTGCTTCTTTGATTTAGGGACAGGCCAATTTTGGATAGCATTTACCTTAGCCTGTAGGGGGTTCATAGTACCTTGACCCACCTGGTGTCCAAGGTACATTACCCTGTTTAGGCCTATTTGACACTTTTTGGCCTTAATGGTTAATCCTGCCTCCCTTATATGCTGGAAGACAGCTTGGAGGTGTTCCATTTTTCTGCCCGTGAATCTGAGAATATAGCCACATGCAGCCCTACATGGGTGATGAAGGCTAACCTTTCCTTGGCTGGGTCATCTAGCGGCACTTGCCAGTACCCTTTAGTTAAGTCTAAGGTGGAGATGAACTGGGCATGTCCCAGTTTCTCCAATAGCTCACCTGTGCGTGGCATTGGATAGTTTTCTGAGTGAGTTACAGCATTTAGTTTACGGTATTCCACACAAAAGCAGATTTCCCCATCTGGTTTGGGAACCAGAACCACTGGAGAGGCCCATGCACTCTCAGAGGGATGGATTACACCCCTCTGTAACATGTCCTTGATCTCCTTTTCTATTGCGGTTTTGGCTTGTGGAGCCATCCGGTAGGATTGGGCTCTAATTGGGCGAGCATCACCTGTGTCAATGGAGTGGTACACCCATTCTGTCCATCCTGGGCAGGCTGAAAACTTTGGCGTGAAGGTGGTGCACAGCTTCTGGATTTGCTGTCACTGCTTATTCCCAAGGGTCATGGAAAGGCTCACCTCTTCCATGCTACCATTGCTTTTTCCGTCATAGTAGACTCCTTCAGGCCACTCAGCGTCATCTCTCTCCTGGGCTGTAAAGTGGGGAACCTTGATTTCTCAGGAATAAAAGGGCTTTAGAGAATTAACATGGTATACTTTAGGTTTTAGGGTAGGGCCTGGGAATGCTATGAGATAATTAACAGCTCCCAGGTGCTCTTGGACCATAAATGCCCCCTCCCATGATGCTTCCATCATATTGGCCTGGAGTACTTTCAGGACCATGACTTGGTCACCTATTTGAAGGAACACTCCCTGGCTTGTTTATCATACCAGGCCTTTTGCTTTTGCTGAGTATCCTGTAGGTTTTCTTGAACAAGGGATAGAGAGTCTTTGAGGGTATGTTGCAGGTTGGGTACAAAGTCCAAAATGTTAGTTCCTAAAGAAGATGTAACCCCCTTCCATTGCTGCTTCATCATTTGTAATGGCCTCTTAACTTCGTGGCCATAACCGAGTTCAAAGGGTGAAAATCCCAAATGGGGATGTAGTACAGCCCTGTAGGCAAAGAGCAACTGCTGCAATACTAGGTCCCAATTATTGGAGTGCTCATTCATGAATTTACATATCATGGTCCCCAAAGTTCCATTAAATTTCTCCACTAGGCCATTTGTTTGATGGTGGCAAACAAGTGGTTCACCCCATGAGCTTCCCAAAGACGTTTCATGGGCCCTGCTAGGAAGTTAGTTCCCAAATCTGTAAGGATGTCAGAGGGCCAACCTACCCTGACAAAAATGTCTGTCAATGCCAGGATCATGCTTTTAGCCCTGGTATTGCTTAGAGCTACTGCTTCCGGCCATTGGGTGGCAACATCCATG